TAATAATAATAATAATAATAATAATAATAATGACATCAGTATAGTAAGAATAACAGTACTAACGCTAATATTAATGTCAATTATAAACTATAATTTTTTTTAAACGCATAAGAATAATAATATACTATATTAATAATATTATAAAGTAAAGACATAATAGTATAATAATGATGACAGAAGAAAAATGTAGTGTAGAAAGATTAAATTTAAATAGGTATTAACATTTCCTTTAATTTTGATTGTTGTAGTCCTGGAATTTTGTGTGTTGACGTCATCATTTCAAATTTGCTTGGGAGGTGGGGAATTCCCATCAGACAGGCCTAGACTCCCATCATGCCACGACAAGGCCGCCACACCACAATAATGATTTGCTTATCCATAAAACATTATTTGATTGCCAATCCCTAATATTTTGGCTTATAAAAGCAAAATTTTGGGCCATACCAAGCTAAAAAAAAAAAAAAAAAAAGCTCTCCCACAAGCCCAGAGATGTTTATTCCGGGAGGGTCTAGTCGGCCCTGTGTTTGGACCCACCCTATGAGACCCCCTGGGGCCTCTACTAAACGACTATAAGGGGTAAGTATTTATCAAAGGTCTGTCAGTTTTTAGTTATAGAAAAAAAACCCTTAAAGTGACTAAAAACGTAAACATGTCTCCCATACCCCGATTGAAAAATTGGTATTTTAAAGAAAAATTTCACTATTTCGTTTTTTCGTTGTGTTAACTTTGTATTAGTTCATTAATTATATATAGGGCCTATATTTTTTTTTAAATTCCTGTATGTAAAATATTGTATTGAGATTGTAATGTTTGTACTTTGATAAAAATAAAATTATTTTTGGACTGTGTTTGGACCCACCCTATGAGACCCCCTGGGGCCTGTACTAAACGACTATAATGGGTAAGTATTTATCAAAGGTCTGTCAGTTTTTAGTTATAGAAAAAAAAACCTTAAAGTGACTAAAAACGTAAACATGTCTCCCATATCCCGATTGAAAAATTGGTATTTTAAAGGAAAATTTAACTATTTCGTTTTTTCGTTGTGTTAATTTTGTATTAGTTCATTAATTATATATAGGGCCTATAATTTTTTTTAAATTCCTGTATGTAAAATATTGTATTGAGATTGTAATGTTTGTACTTTGATAAAAATAAAATTATTTTTACATTAAAAACATAGTTTTCCCACCTAATGGACGCTATCTTGGAATTTGTCATGATGACGTCATCATTCCGATCAATTTTTTTCTCTCTTTATCACACTATCGGTACGTCTTAGCCTAATTTATCTATTCAATAAGAACATACTAATCTGGCATGGCAGATTACGCTCAATTGCATCAAATTAACAATAAAAATGACAACAATAATATCAAGAATTAAATCTTAATTATAGAAAAAGGAATATTAACCACAAAATATAACCCTATTTTCAAACATTATTCACACAAATTACAATGGGCCTAGTTACAGACATTATAAATTTTAAAGTAGGCCTACTAAGAAAAAAAAACCCTTTTTGCTTGATCATGAATAATGTCGAAGTTGTTTAAAAAAAGTACGAATCGGTGCAGATTTTAGTTTCACCCAATCACGTTCAGCTTCCTTATTTAACTGGATAAGAACAAGTTTCCTCGCTGTAATAAAACCTACCGTATTATTTCTCCTGAGTGTTAAAATGTCCCTTACAATTTCTTTTGAAGTCAGGCTCCGGAGAAAATGTTGTACAACAAAAAGGGTGTGTACGTACGGCTTGCCATATGTACGCCCCTCCCACATCAGTTTTTAAATATTACAAAATTTGTATCTCATTAACCGTTTCCGATTTTTTCGTCAAACATGCTTTATGTTAAGAAAACATAATCAACATTTTTTACTCCGGAGCCTGGCTTTCCCCTAAATTCAAACAACAGCACAAAACGATTACAGCTTGCAGACAGGTTTTGAAGTGAAGACGGTGTATGCCTGTGGTTTGAAACCATGTTTATTTTTAAATATCATCAACATCATAATGATGATCATCATCATGTCATCATTATCATCGTCGTCGCCCACGTCGCAGTCACCACCGTCACCGTCTCCGTCACCGTCCACATGACCGCCACCATCACCAACATCCATTATTACTATTGCTATTGTTATTGCTCATTATTATTAATTATTATCTTTTATCATTATTATTATTTATTTATATAGGCCTAATTATCCTTTATTATTTCTTATTATTATTACTTATGAGTAATTATTATTACTTAGTTATTATTGTCAATTACTATTATTAATTAGGCCTATTAATATTAATTATTATCATTTTTAATTGGCATTATTACAAATTGTAAATTTTGCTTTTCTTCTCTTTATTTTATTAAATTATTTGTTCCTTTTACTAATAAACAATACTTTTATAAAAATAAAAAGTGGATAGTAAAGTTAATTATTAGATGACAATTTATTTAACATCTTAATTGTAGGTTTATTTAATCCTATAATATTGTTATTATTATTATTATTATTATTATTATTATTATTATTATTATTATTATTATTATTATTATTATAATTATTATTAATGTTAAAACAAACTATTTAACATCTAATATAATAATAATAATACTCGGTTGTGGCTTGAACTCCCAACCTTGAAGTTGGTGGTTCGAAACTCTTGCTCTTCGAAACCTACCAGGGTACCTGGTAGATTCAAACACAACCAGGCAGCTGATCACAGCTGCAATTTTATGGAATTCTCCCAAGGTGCCTGAGTGTGTTCCATATGTGTTTGATCCATTGACCGGGTGTAATAATGCTAAGCGCATTAAGGTCTCTACAATATGCGCTATAAAAATCGACAATTATTATTATTATTATTATCTTAATTGTAGGCTTATTTAATCATATTCATGTTATTGTTATCATAATTATTATTATTATTATTATTATTATTATTATTACTTTTGTTCTTATGAATTACACTATTATTATAAAATTAAGTAGATTATATATTTTATGGGCACATAAGGATAATAGTTGGCTTCAAATAAGTTGTTAAACAAGAAATAAATAAATAGATAAATAAATAATTAAATAAATAAATAAATAATAATAAATAATAAATAAATAATTATTTATTATTATTAAATATTATTAATTATTTTTATTATTATTAACAATAATAATAATAATATTAATTATTATTAAAATATTACTACTATTGTTCCTATTGCTAATATTACTATTATGATTATACTATTATTATTATTATTATTATTATTAATATTATTATTTTTTGTATTATATCGTATGATTAACAACGCAACCATTTTAATACTTTCCAATGAATTTTTCCCACTGTGTCATCTCTTATATTCCATTTTTGGTAATTTCAGGGCTTTCGATACAATTTATTGATATATTCTTCCACCTTAATTCCTGTTCAATTTATTTTCTTGTTAAATTTGATACCGGTATGCTTCCACTATATTTTAGCAAGAGCCTACTTTGTGCTGCCATATTATCATTACCATAATTATTATCGTCATCATCATCATCATCAGCATCTTCATCATCATCATGACCATCATCAACATATTATATCCATAATCATCAAGAACAACATTATATCATTGCCATCACGATAATAGTAATAACAATAGGCAATAATAATAATGATCAATAAATGATTCAAAATAGACACCTTACGTGTTAATACGTCAAAGGAGGAAACGATACGTATCCATATGCTAAAAAAATACATCAGCATTTATGTTATGCTAATAAGACAGAGTATCAAAATAGGCATAATGCTAGTGGTTATTACCTAAGTGTCACATCCGCAATTACAACTTGACTGCGACAATTCGATCCCATTCACATATTTTATGTATCTGTAGTGGCCTTGGGGTAGTTCAAATAATCCCTGGCCAATTGTATCTTTAAGTCGGAAGTGAGCAAAACTGAGACTTGTCGATTGTTACTTCCAGAACAGATATAACTCTGTCAACAGAAGACCAGCTTACAAAGTAGCTTTGTCGATAGATTGATCCACCCGAAACTCTCTGGACAATAGCCTTACTCAAATAATTGTGTAGGCTTCTAAACTTAGATGCTATTCATTTGATATGCATTTGGATATGTTTCTGAAGTCATCCAAGCTGTACATTTTCTTTTAATAATATTGATAAGCACATTGCGGATAAGTTGATATATTTAAACTATTCTCCTAATTGACAATAAACCTCCGACAATGAATCGATCAGCTGATGGAACTGTTAATTATGTGTTCAGTGGGAATTTTGGAACCTATGAGTCGCATACTGCAGACGACAACTGGTTTGCATCACCTCTGTCGAATGCCGTGGCATTATTTTCCCGTTTTATTGTTAAGGACGAAAACATTCCATTGGGTAAGTCCATCATGCCTTCTCTAATTATGTCCTCATTCTTTGATAGATATGTGGTAAATGTGTTGTCCTTACCGGGATTTGAACCCAACCCCACATTCTGACCAAAATGCGACAACATTTAAATTTAATTAGAAGGCCTATAGATTCTCTGCCAAAAGTACATTATTCCTAAGAAATACATACTGGAAATAATTGTGGCAAATTCAAGATTTTTAATTTAACAAAGTGAAACCTTTCATAATATTCATTATCTGAGTTGGGGATGGATCTCCTCGACATTACTGAACATTTTAGTATAGGGCCTACCGAATTAAATTACTATTTATCTGTTGCCTTACATTCCTGTGTTTGTACTAGGCCTTTTAAAAAAGCACTGGCTATTAATAATTGAAAGTAGGAAAACACTGAACCCACGAACGTTGGAAGATGATGGCAAATAAGGTCTAACCAAACCCCATGAAACTTGTTTTCCTTTCCATCAGACAACCGAATAAATTCCATTCAGTATGATCTAGTTGGTAGTCCCATGTGAACACTTGCACTTAAAAGTATGGTTAGCTGGTCTCCAGAGGAAGACACTGAACAATGATGCATGTTTTTTCAAATAGTCTCAACGATGTTGTTTCAAATAATCATGGCTTTACATCAAATCAGTATAATAGTCTGACTTCGTGGTTCAGTACTTAGGTCTAATTATTAAATTTCAACATGATAATCATTAATCATTAAAGTTCGGTGTATCTTGACAGAACTGATACCCTTCGAGCTACAGAGGGAGTCTACAGACCAGGTCTTTGAAAAGGTGAGTGATTACCCATGAATGATACTTCCAAATTCGAGACACAAAACTATACGAATTGGTAGAGTTACACAATTCTTCTCGTTATTAGTGGTCTATAATCAAAATAAAATGTCATACAAAAACCTATTATTTTAAAGAACGAAATAAAACACAAAATTAAAGTTTGACTATGCATTATAACATTTTAGTCATTATGGCACTGCAAATATGGCTCACGCATATACCCTAAGAAGGGTCATTAGATTTAGATGGCAATGTAATATTCGAATATCAGTTTTGTAGAAAAAGTGCTCGAATAAAGGAACAATAATGTAAAATATTATTTTGTATGAAAAAGTGTCCCCTGTTGCAACTAAAGCCTCGACCTCTCGCTGTCAATGCTAATGTCATACGAAATTACACTGTTGTTCCTTTATTCGAACACTTTTTGACCATTATTTTGATTATTTATAGGCCTACCACAGCGCTCCGCAGGCAACACTGATTTTATAGGTTACTTTTGTGTGTGTGTAGGAGGAGGGTGGAGTGGGGGTGGGGAACTGAGGGTGTGTTTGTATGTGTTTTTTCATGTACGGCCCACTAGATTCAGTCAATACATACAATGAGAATGTGCAACCTCATTCTGCTCTGAGAGTATATCCAGTTCCTGCATGACAAATTATAAATGTAGTACGATTTAGCTCATAATTTTGTTTTTGATGTCTTCATTTGCAGGTTGTCGCTTTCGAGCAGCCAATTTTCATATTTTCCAGCTTTAGTATTATAGTCGCTATCGTAATTCCAATTGTTGCACTGTTTTATTGTTGCTGCCGGATGTTCGGAAAATGTGGAGGTCATAGGTCAGAACAGTATGTGGCAACATTAAATGACAGAAGTGGTGTTTTAATTGGCTTTAGCCTGTTTGTGTTCATCCTAGTGGCTTTGTAAGATTCACTCCATTCCTTCATAAATATATGTAATAGCATTATCTTTTCTTTTCCTTGTTTGATTTTGTATCATTTACTTGGTCGAAAGTAAATAAATTGCTTTAATCAGTTTATCATTGAAAGTAATTGATGAGAAATTATGTTTAATTAGATTTACTTTTATGAATTTGTAAAAATATCGTATTATTACTGTTTGATTATTATTGTATTAATATAATCTTAAATGTACTACCAATAGGCCTATATTGCTAATAATATTTTGTTATTTTCATTTTTATTTATTATATATTATTATGTGCTATTTGACAACTTGGTCATTTAAGAGCAGCGCACACTCATCGAAATATTAAACGAGCAAGGGATTGTAGACTTCCGGTATACTGCCCAATTAACAGCCCAATTAATTAATTAAGTGCTATATTGTAAGGCCTACCCCATTTCATGATGCGTGACCATTGTCAGTCTGTTCTTAATTTTTGCATTATGCTAATGAAATTATGTAGAGATTAAGCTACATAACGTCAATTCTCTGATAACTTATTATGCACCGTATAGGCCTATACTCGAATTTTTGAAGTGCCTTTTAAAAACAACTGCCAGAAAAAATAAATAGGCCTACATATTTAAGCATCAGCTTATGAATTGTGCTTTGAATTATGCTCACAAGAGCACTCAACTCGGTTGTTGTCAATAGCATAAAATAAGTTATTGCTAACCATTAAAAAGATTAAATGCTAAATTGCCATCGCATGGTACTTTGTGTTATAGGGCATCAGCTGGGATAATGGCCATGTCTAGTCATCGCCTTGGCTCTTGTTGGAATAAAATTGAAGAATCTGCAAAGAATTCGCATCATGATGTCAAGCTTTTCAACGACAACTTGTTCTTGGTTAGATGACTTTTTTACGGTTACAATATCATATGATACCGGTAGTAACTTTAGTGGTACTGTAAATAATGATGATAATAAACTTTTGAGAAAAAAAATGATGTATAAATAATCAAACATGAGTTCACATCCCGATGGGAACAATACGTTTATCATTTACCACCACAGGAAGCGTAACTCCATACTAAAGTTACTATCATAGGGCCTATACTGTTACGATTCATTTCATATTACGCAATCCTCTGAGAAAAAAACCATGTCCTAAAGGAAAAATCCAAGAGTATGTAACATTTGGCCTCATAGCTCAGTTGTTAGATCCGGTCTTGGGTTCAAATCCTGATGGGAACACGTTTTTCTCTTAAACAATTATAATGTATCTTGACCATGCATATTTATCATTTGTTCGGAAAACTCAACCTCGAATTAATGAGTAAGCCTACATTAGTTTCGAAAATTGCGCTCTCTAAACCGATCACACCATAACGATTTAGTGGTTATTAATAATTGTCCTTTTTTTTTATCGGAACAAATTGCGACGTAAACATTAGACAGTAAGCGAGCGAAGTGGGCGCACCCTATATTAATGATAATAATCGCCATAATATCATCGGCGTCATCTGCCTCATCATCATCATCGTCGTCATCCTTATCACTGGACCATTACCATTACCATTATCGAGGGCATCAATTGTTACAATTATTATTATTATTATTATTATTATTATTATTATTATTATTATTATTATTATTATTATTATTATTATTATTATTATTATTATCGTTATTATCATTATTATTGTTATTATTATATTATTATTATTATTATTATTATTATTGCTTACTAATACTATAATTATTAGGCGATTTTTAATAATACTTTAATAACAATAACTCGAGCTGTACGGTACTAATATCATCATCATCAGCAGCATCTTCATCATCATCATCATCATCATCCTTATTATTATATCAAAAAAGGGCGTTTATATTTGAATAAATACTGTATTCTCAATATCATTATTGTTAACTCTTTAAGTATATCATGGTCATACTCCAACCAATGTTCACTCTTAACTAAAAAATCATATGCGCGTTCTACCACACAGTCAAAAGGTTCGTAATAATTAAAAGCGTTTCTATAGTTTGGTGTAACTATAGCCACTGCCTAAAACAACTTCAACTTGAATTGAGCCAATAACAAACTCATTTAACCATATTTGCATACTTTTAGGCAATCAAGGAGCTAGGGATTGAAAATCGACAGACAGTATTTCACATGACGCAAGAGGCTCTTGATGGTAAATATATCAATAATTCTATTTTAAAATAGATATCCTTTATGATTTAACAATGGAACAATATGCTGTCACCTGATTTTATTTTTGAACTCATTTGTTTTACTATTATTGATATATTTATAGGCTAAGTTAGAATTCTTTTAAAAGTACGCACACGACATATTTACATTCCTACCAAGTTAAGGGTTTCAGAGGCTTATTTAATCCATTTTATTGATAGATAGTCTACTAATATGTAGAAAATATATACCTAACATGTTTTTTCTCTCCGACGAATTGTGTTTTTTCCTCTTTTTTTGGGGAAAACTGGGTGGGGGAAAGAAAATTATCTGGGGGGGACACCTTCCCCCCGGTTCCGCCACTGAATATAACTTAGATTTTATTTGAGAAACTAAAATACATCCTATTACACTTATTGTTTTTAATGTAGTCTGTGTTTTTTGTTAACCCTATACATATTCGTGAATGTAATCAAGTCAAGAAACATAATTTCAATAACGATCGACCGTACAGCAATAATGAAATGAAGCATCGAGTAATGACATTTTTATGTTCATTAATTTGTTATTATTTTTATATCAGACATAGGAGGTCAAGTAACGGAACCTGTGAATACTGATTTAGATTTCTTAGTGAATGTCATTAAAGATTTGAATACGAGTAAGTATTAGTTAGGCCAACAAAGGATAAACAATAAGCATTTAAGCCTGCTTTTCTTGATTTACGATGAGATGGTCGTACAACACTTGAGCTTGAACGCGGCAAGTTGATAAAGCTTATAGGATATGGTACAATTATTACTCATAAGAAATTGGATTTTCTCCCAATACTTTGAATTTTGTGTCAGTAGTCATTGAAGTAGCAAGAATTTAAGATTATAGGCCTAAATTAATTAGTATATTATATTGCTTGGGATACATAATGTACAGATTTATGGTTGGTTGTAAGATTTTACTGTAACATTATATGGAAGTTCTTACAAAACACTTCTCGTTTTTCGTCACTATAGCAATATTTTATACGCTCTCGGATGTGGAATTATTGGTTAACAGAATTGACACCAGTATGAAAGATTTAAAACAGATAGTTGAATATCTGCGGACCAAGCTGGGAATAATTATTATTGACTTGGGACAGTTAAGGAGAGAGTGTGTATATGAGGTACTACCAATTGAAGACTATGTGAAGGTATGCATGGATATCCCTGATGGAAGGGACCTATCGATAACAATAGATACGGGGAAAAAGGGGGTAAGTAATCCATGTATAGGTTTTTACTTGTTTTCCATGGCCTTTGGTAACGCTTTCCCAAAATACAATACAGTATATTCTGTAATTGGTTTTTTGATATATAGACTAAAAACTAGAATTTATTTAAGTATATATATATATTGGTTCTTTGATATATAGACTAAAAACTAGAATTTATTTAAGTATATATATATATTGGTTCTTTGATATATAGACTAAAAACTAGAATTTATTTAAGTATATATATATATATATATATATATATATATATATATTTCAATATCATTCATCATTATAATAGCAATGAGGAAATATAAATATATATATATACTTAAATAAATTCTAGTTTTTAGTCTATATATCAAAGAACCAATTACAGAATATACTGTATTGTATTTTGGGAAAGCGTTACCAAAGGCCATGGAAAACAAGTAAAAACCTATAGATACTTACAGAATCGCGTCCACCAACAGCCGCCTGGCTTTAATTGGATAATTTGACAGTTGTATTTGTTTTTATTACGCAGATACCTGATATAACTAGTTTTGTGGACTTCGTTAGAAGGCTCGTTCCCGAAGAAACATCAGATCTGGTCACAAGACTCACAGATGCGGTGAGATTTAAATGATAAGACAAACACTTACTAGGCCTATGTCTGGTTTTTCTCATTGCTATTATAATCATGACTGATATTAAAATTATAAAGCAAAAACACAGTTATATACAATTATATATAATACAATTATGAAGTTAAAAAAGAAATGAAAAATCACTCGACGCTACAGAGACTCGAACTAGCGATGCAGTGATTTTGGTTTCTCTCTAAATGCAAATGAGTGGAAATAGAGTGAAATAGTGCCTACAGTAACCACTCCTGATAGACTGAAATTGGAGTGATCACTGTAGGCACACTTTTCGAGTGAAATTCACTCTTAATTAAGAGAGTAGTGTGGTGTGTACGGTTCTAAACATATATATATCGAAACCCAATCATGCAGCGTCTGTGCATTGAGTTCGTCAACCTTGTGTAATTTACTGGTTGAGGACGAAAACTGTTCATGCATTGCACAGTAAATTTGAATTTAACCTAGCTGTAGCTATTTTGAAACGCTTTAGAAAACGCACATTTCGTTAAGATAAAAAGTTTATTTATTTTTTTATTAATTATTGAAAATATATATAGAATGACATCATATTTTAATATGTACGTCTCTAATGAGAAGAAATAAAACAACAAAATCAAGGCGAAAATCAGAACAAAAACAATAGTCTTTTTCGCTAAAGCGAGAAAAGCCAATAATTGAAAAGATAACGGGTACATATAAAGTATATATTCGTATTTAAAACTTATAAACCGACTTATATTTCGGGGCTAACATTTGTTTGTTACATAATTACTTGATTATATATTCTGGTTTTAAGTGAACATACGCCTCTGAAGTAGTGCGGGCGTTCACCAATAATGAATATTACTCTTTTAGTGTAAAATTATTATTTTACGATATTTTAATTGACATAAATAGGAACGATATATTTATACAAGATTTGTGGAGGCGTCTAGGCGGTAAAATCTTGCAAACATGTTGTCTTTACTCAAATTAGTATACATGACCATGTTTTGAATAACGATGCATTAAAATAATTTATAAAGTACCGGTATAATTACATAACACTGATTTTGCCCAGCTATAGAGGATAAACATAAGAAAACATTTTAAATTTGCTGTAAATGAATATGTTTAATTGTAGGGGAGTCGTGTGTTGTCTGAGATGGTCTTTGCCGTTGAAGATATGACGAGAGATGATGTAGAAGGTGATATAAAATACACATAAAATTAACTTATATTTACATATAAATATGTAATAAAGTTGAAACAATAAATATTAATGCTTGCGGTACAGTTGAAACAATAAATCGTAAATCCGTATGTATGGCTTATATATAAAAAATGTAGCATGGATTAAATATGAATAATTTATAAATTATAGTTACATAACATTCACTTTTGCCCAACTATAGAAGAAGATAAACATAAGAAAACATTTTTAATTTGCTGTAAATGAATATATCATATATATATATATATATATATATATGATATATATATAGAGGGATCTTATACACATCTAGATGTGTATAAGAGACAGTCCCTATATTGTATAAAACTCAATTTGGGTATAATCGAACGTATTAATACTGTACATGATAATGCTTTACTTATACAATAAAAAAAAAAATTTTGTCTTATGATTCAGAGTACTAAATTAAATGTGTTTGCTTTCAGGCTCGTAGTAAACTTAATACATTCACAAAAATGTACGTCGAGAAACTCTACCAGGCCTCTCCACGAGCAGCGATGTATAATAAACTAAGGTAATTCAGCAGAATTTAATTTAATTATGTCCATGCACTTTATTTTGTTTGGATTAATTATAAAATGCCAACTTCTACAGTCTCCGTCTTTTCCCCTAAGTGTACGTTCTTTTTCCTAATTTTTGTGTGTGTATAGTGAAGAGGACATGGACCGGTGACCCAGACGTACAAGTCCGTAGCTAATATTTCTTAAATTTACTTTAATGCCTCTTCGCCGAGTAGTCGTCTGATTTCTGCTCTTGGGCTGGCTTGCTTGGAGATTGTTATCTTAACCATCTTCTTTACGCCGATGATCTAGTACTTGTTAGCGATACTGTGAAAGGACTACAAAAATTGATTAATAAACTAGAATTATACCGTGATAAATGGAAACTTACTGTTAATATTAATAAATCTAAAATTGTTGTATTTAAAAAAGGAGGAAGACTCAGAAAAATTGAAAAATGGTATTACAAGAATCATCAATTACAAATTCAAACCACATACAATTATTTAGGTGTTATCTTTAATTCAAATGGATCATAGAACACAGCTATAGAACACAACTGCCAAAAAGCAAATCAATGTTTATTTTGTTTAAAATCATTTATTCACCGTAACTTAACATTCATACCAATCAGTACATGGAACTTTCTTTTTGACACCAAAATCCTCCCAATTTTAATTTACGGAAGCGAAATTTGGGGATTGTTCGATAATTCTAATATTGGAAAAACCCATATTAAATTTTGTAAATATTTATTAGAAGTTGGAAATAAAGCACCAAATGTCGATGTTATCTCGGAATTGAGGAGACTACCGCTTAAAATAAATTGTTTAATGACCGTTATTAGATTTTGGTTACACATTATTTCATTAAATCATGATAGATTTGTATTTAAATGCTATGAGTTTCAATTAGGGAAAGTAGAAACGAGAACTACTGGGCACTACAGGTTAAACAATTACTTTGTTCTAATGGATTTGGTTACATTTGGTTTCAACAGTTTGTGTACGACAAAACTTCTTTTCTGAATGAGTTTAAGTTGCGTCTTTGTGATATTGAAAAAAAAAATTGTATCGAGAAATTTAGTTTACATTCCAGACTAAGGTTATTCACTCTGTATAAAAAAGAAATAAGTTTAAGCTATCATTATACATAATGTTAGTAATTTAAAACACAGACGGTTATTGACAAAGCTAAGATTAGGTATACTGGAACTTGAGATTGAAAAGGGGAGGTAGGAAAATATTGATAGAGACAAAAGAATCTGCATGATATGCAATAACATTATTATTGAAGATGAATTTCACTTTATTTTGCAATGCCCATATTATTCTGAGTTAAGGAGCAAATATATTCCAAAATTTATTTACTTATATCCATCTATTAACAAGCTTTGTCTATTATTTTCAAATACAAAATATATTAATAATTTAGCAAAATACGTCTACTTTGAGTTTGAAAAGAGAAATAAGTGTATTATGTTACAATAAATAGTTTAGTATTAGGGCCAATGGCCCATGTACTTGAATAAATTCCCTGAATAGGGAAAGAAAATATTCGTTGTACAATATGTTCCAATTTACTTCTCGTGCTGGCCAAATGCCTAAACTTTTCGACATCATTTACGATGTTCAGTGTCATCTAAGGATTTCTTAAAGGATTGTGAATTATTTTTAGAACATGAAGTCCAGAGGGTGCTTGTAGGGAATAATTCTCTTGTGGTGGTCAGAAGAGAACTGAAGCATTACATAATATCCATGATGAATTTCATCATTTTGGTAGTTTTTATGCAAACATTGATTCGTTCATAAATGAGGTTAGGCCGAACACGTTCGGCCAGCTCCAATCACGAATTTGTTTCACAGATACACACTCAAGCTAATATGTTTAGTGTCAAGATTTAAAACTTGATTTTATTTTAAAGGTAGGTTAGGTAAACACACATACCAACCATCCTCCTCAAAGGTGTGGAGAAATGCATTTTGTTCCTCTTTCTCACCTAATATATATCTTTATTCTTTTCTACTCCTCTTCCACAGTTTTCATTCCTTACACATTGAACTCTCCGTTTCTGTCATCATCCACTTTCTCTCCGTTTTCTACTTCTATACTTCCTCCACTTTTATTGTTCATGTTTGTTCTTCACATTCAACTTCTCCGACATTATTTATCCGAAACTTTCACATTTGTAATTCACATCATTTTTCCCTATTTAATAATCCTTCTTTTACCTTTTTGTTATTTTGACTGTAATTTTATTGCTTCTTACTTCTTATCACGTCATTTTAATCAACCATGGAATCTGGAAGAGCTAATCCTTTTCGATTTTAAACTTGGGATGCAACTGTTTTGCATTAGGAAATTTTTATTCAATTAATTATGGTGGTAGTTATTAATTTTTGTGACGAACTAGGCTGTGTTTTGTGTGTGGACGAACTAGGCTGTGTTGTGTGTGTGTGTGTGTGTGTGTGCGGACAACTGAATTTCCTTTAACTGTTGTAACATTTTTGTATTTTTCTTCACATCCAACAGCAAGTACACTCGCCACTTACAGGATAAAACGATGCTTTATAAACTAAGTCTTATTGAGGCTTAGGGAGTGGAGTTGTATTTGGTTGTGAGAAGGGGTCCTGCTGTGACAGGAATTGAACCCAGCACCCTATGATTCGAATGAAATCATCCTATATCCACTAATCTTTTCAACTACATTTATATTTACTTTATCCACATCTCCAAATGTTAAAATACTAAACTGGTATATGGTGTGTGTGTGTTGGTGTTTTTTTCTATATCACTTTTATTCATCAAAAATATACATCAACACACATTAAAATTCATATGAAATGGAGTGAATAAAAGAAAACGAAAAACCCCAGACTTGTAGAATTAAGAACACGCAGGGGTAACACAAAACAAAAACATCACAAACAAATTCGGACATCAAAAACGAGGGAAAAAAAAATAAAGAACAAAAAGACAGAGAGGCGGGTTTATTCAGGTGGGTTCATTTCTGGCGTAATAAATGCTATAAGATAAAACTAAGGCAATTTTGGAAATTTTGTCTTTAAAATGCTTAAATGATATAGGACAGTTAATAGATTTATGGATAGTTTTATCCCACCCCCTGCCCCACAAAATCTACTGGAAGCAACATCATTCTCAGCATAATATTCTATTAATGTTCTATTCCAGTGGAATTACGGAACATTTTTTTCTAACCTGGTTGGGAAATGTTTTTTATGATCACGCGATAACATGTGTTTTGTAGTGTCACAACATATACAGTGAAATTAAGGGACGTTATTTGAATATACACGTATCCATTTTACACCAAAAAAAAAAAAGTATCCATTTTACAGCAAAAAAAAAAAAAAAAAAAAAAAAAAACGCCTCTCGAATAAACGCTTTATTAAAGATTCTTCTAAACTATAAATGCCCTCTGGGGCTTTTATTTCAATAAATGCACTCACAGCACACCACTCCAATTGCAGTTCAAAATATTGCATATAGAATGTAAAAAATAACAGTTATTATTGTGTATTTTTTAGGACTGGTGTTTGTGCAGTGTTCTTTTCCGTGTTTTTTTTTGTTGCGTCTTCTTTACTTTTCTTTGCTTCGGCAAGCGTAAGCAATTTTTGTGAGCCCTTTACCGACTCTTCTGTATTTGAAAAGGTAAGCTCTATTACTATTATTACTACTACCACCACCACCACCACTACAACTACAGTACCTGTTATTAATAATAATAATACTAGTACCAACAATAACATAATTATAGTTAATATAATAAAGTTAATTTTTAATGATAAAGATTTTAATTCCAATTTCCGGAGATGGAAACGATAATGATATATGCTTGAAACTAACAGTATTATTATTAGTATATAAATGAATTGTGTGCATCAACTCTTTTGAATGTGCATCCTGTATGAATTATCATCAGCAACCGCAAAATCAGCATTTTAACAATGCTTGACTTAAGACGAAATGCTTGACTTAAGACCTACTGGTGCAGGGATTAACTTCATCAACTAGTAACGTTGTACCAAAATTATAATCAAATGACCTATTTTTCTGTTTAAGCGTTGATGCCATTGACACGAGATAATTAAGGCCTACCAGTACCATGAGAAGAGCCCCTTATAAACGTCATTCAAACGATATTAATATTCATATATTTATAGAATGTATATGTTTTGTAATTGAAATTGAGATTTTGAAAACTTGTAAAAATCCTAAAATGCACATTGTCGTTACATGCTTTGATTACGTTGATCAAATTACAAATTAGAACATGAAATATCAGCAAATGAAACCTTAATTCTGTCTTTGAGTGTGTTTGTGTTCCATACTTCGAAAGTTTATTACCCTATTCATTGTATACATTCATATTGGCAGAGGTTTAGCGATAAATTAGTATTCCACCCATGCATTTTAACATCTCTAGAGGTACCAATTTTAAATTCATCCCACAGAACGCATGCTAAACTTTTGCAATAACTGTATTGCATGATTTGATATTGAGATTACATGTAAGAACAACATCGCGTTATTCATTTCATCTTTTATTTCAGAATTTCATATCCATAGAATAACAAATTCATGACGAATATTTGATATAGTGACATACATATTAAATCATTTCAGGTATTTGATAATCCAGAGTATTGGAAAGATGGCATTACACCAGTGGAAGAGATACTTCAGTACAATAATTTTTCCACAGCCAAGTCTATTATTCAGTTAGTAATTTGTTACCTCTTTCAGCTCTAAATAATATGGTAGTGAATTTAGTAGGCCGTGACATAATTGTGCTTAATACCCATTGTATTCAAAAGTACATATTTAAGAAGGTATTCGTATGTAGGCCAATTATTGGTATTAAGATAGGTATTGTGTGTCTTACAGAGCCTGTGATATGAATGAAGATGTCTTTACAGCAATCAATATGAAAATTACTAACGATCTTTATCCGGATATAAATACGTTTAAGGTAAAGAATATTTGTATTTCAATTTTAAACAAACATTAAAGATTTTACAAAAGTTAAAACGGAGAATGAATGAATGATTGGCGAATGTTCGGTATGAATTCTTAAAAATTTTGACATTTACAAATAGTATAATAATTTAAAAAAATATTCTTGAAATTATATTTTATACATCATTTTAAAAGATATGTACAAAATAGACTTAGTAATTCTGGTTGTAAAACAGATCATAATGATTATTGACATAATGAGGACTGATGTTGAAATTATAGAGTTAAAAAGAATCATTACAAAATCTTTAAATTAAAATTTTCATGAAAAGATAAAAAAAATAAAACATACAAAATCAGTAATTCAATTAAAGACGGTTGTTGTTTTTATTTACTATCTATTGTTATTTTTGTTATTATTATTGTTATTGTTGTTGATTCTGTTATTCTCATTGTCATTGTTATGACACTCGGCCTGACAGAAAGAGGTTGCAGGTTTAGATTCCAGAATGAAACTTTTCGCTGAAGGGCTCTCGGCCAGCGTCATACCTCTTAGACCACAAAGGCCCGTACGATATCGTAACACTAGTCTCTCCATCTTTATACAACTTGAGGGCTCATACATGGAGCCAATTTTTAAGCTATGTAAGTAGCTTATGTAACCATATAAATCTCATTTTGTGAACCCTAATTAATGCTAACTAAAACTAATATCTAAGAATTTTAAATTATGGTTCTTCTTTTAAAAAAATCATTGTTCTTAAAGATAATATTTTTGATAAATTTTAATTTCCTACTATTTAATATTTTTAAACTAGCTTCTGTGTAATGAGAACACTGATGTTCCTTGTTGGGGATGAATAAACACTTTGAATCTTGAATTTTTATTTAGTATTTTAATACGACAAGCATAATTAGTACAGCAGTTCACAAGTCAATTGAGCATATATTGACACAAGATGCAAATGTTCTTCTACCCGATGAGTTACCACACCAGCGGCCATCAACATTTAGTATGATGTCCTTTGTCCAGGAGGTCAGTTCTGTATTTCTCTTAATATGATGTAATGTATTGTAAGGTAATGTAATGTAAGGTAATGTAATGTGATGTAATGTAATATGATATAGTATAATATGATATATGATGTGATATGATAATAGTATATGATTTGATATGATATGGTATGGTTTGGTATAATATGATATGATATGACATACGGTATATGATATGATATGATTATATATGTGATATGATATATGATGTAAGTGTAATAATAATGGGCCTAGTAGTAAATAATTATATTTTATATTCAAGAAGAAGAATTAAGAAACTATATGGAATACGTGCAAAAGTTTGTATGTATAAAATAATAATAGTATTGTAATAACAGTAACGATAATGATGATAATGATACTGTAATAATAATGATGACGACGACGACGACAACGACGAGTAGAGTTGTATAGCTCAGAGTGGTTAAGATGCTTGCCTTTTAACCCAGGGTCCTGGGTTCTGCTCCAGCGACAACATGACTCTTTCTCACGATTAAACAAAACTCTCATAAAGAAACTTGGTTTATGAAAATACGAAGGAAAAATTAATGATAATATTTATAGTAGTATAAACTACTCGGACTAAAGGGGAATATCTTTTGGGTTATTTTCTCCTTAACGTCGTTTTTTTTAATTGTTCTCTAATTTCTCCATTGTCTTAAGGTAGGTTGTGTAACATAGTATTAATAATAATAATAATAATAATAATAATGATATTAATAATAATAATAATAATAATAATAATAATAATAATAATGATGATGCAATTAACTAATTTGATAAATCAATGTTAATATTATTGAGCAATAATTGTTATGTATGAGAATATATTATTACTATTATTATCAATTATTTATAGTAGTATAAACTACTTGGACTTAAGTGTGTGTTATTTTCTCCTAACGTCGTTTTTTTAATTATTCTCTAATTTCTTCATTGTCTTAAGGTAGGTTGTGTAACATAGTATTAATAATAATAATAATAATAATAATAATAATAATAATAATAATAATAATATTAATAATAATAATAATAATAATAATAATGCAATTAACTAATTTGATAAATCAATGTTGATATTATTGAGCAATAATAGTTATGTATGAGAATATATTATTACTATTATTATCAATTATGCACAGCGTATTATTATTATTATTGTTATTTATTATCATTATTAGTTCCCTCTCTTACATCTATAGGTGTCATCAGAGCTGAAGTCGTTGCCTTTAATGGATTACGCTAGAACATTAAAATTAGATGCGGATATCCTAATGACGTCGGGCAATGAAGTAAGCCCTTAAGAAACAATATATATTTTAGCACGATTTTTAGAATATTTGTTAATGAATTTTTTATATGCTTTATAAATGCCTATACCAAAGTCGATACTTACGCTGTTATACAGGAAGTGTAGTGCTGTTTTTTTTTTTATTTAGTGTTAAACTATAGGATGACTAGGCTGGAGAAATAAATATTACCAAATAACCCGTTAAAAGCATAAGTTATAGTTATCATTCTTAAAACAGCATATTGTTTCCGTCTATTTACAGAATTTTTGTGCGCATAGGAAAGTAATATAGGTTGGGCAATACAGCCTATTGGTTGAATGAAAATTAAAAGAAAGAGAGAAAGGCACGAGTTATATAAAAAAATTACGGATACTCATGTACAAATAGCAAATCAAAATATGAAATAGACTTAAAATTACAAGATAATATAAAGATTTACAGCATATTTTTTACAAAGTCACACACAAAACTTGAACTGAAGAAGGTTATAAAACATCAGACTGGAAATAAACAGCCATATACGAAAAAAAAATATTGCAGAATTAGGCTTTGCACTACTACAAATATTTATATAATTCACATTTTTAATTTAATCATTTTTAAGAATCTGACTACGAAGTTGCGAGCCGTATCCAACACTTTGAAAGATTTACATCTTCAAAAATTACAACCAACGCTGATGTTGTCGGTGAGTATATATTTCCTTACCATTAGGAGTGTTCAATTATAACTATTTTTTTTCCCAGTTACCATGGCGGTTTCTTTTTCATACAACAATATAGGAACAACTGGTACAAGAAATTGAACAACTAGAAGCACATGTCGATGTTGTTGGGGTAAGACATTTACTTATTCAAATTAATTTTTATATCAATAGATGTTCAACCTATCAATGGTATCGTCAATTATTAATTATTATAATTTTTCCAATAAAGGACTCGACGGGAACACTATATGAAAATATGGATAAAATCCTTAATTACATGGCTGATGGTGCAATGCCAGCATTTAATCAGGTAGGTTGACTGTAATACCATAATTCCGATAGGCCTACTACAATGCCGAATATATTTAATTAAATATCAAATCGTAATATTTGAATATTGATAGTAAAAATTTACGGACAAAACTTTTACAGACAAAACTTTTAGCTAAAAATATCAACTGAGCGCAAAGTTTCGCTCACGCAGTGAACTATACCAGGTGACAATACAAATGAAATAAAATCTCTTATATACATGGAAGACAATGAAGGTGGATACTCCAAGCAAGACAATATAGCAAAATAAGCTTGACTAGATTCATTAGTAAAAACTTTCACATTTTCCATTGCTGCAGTCTTTAGGTTCATATACGAAGCGCGTGACGTCATACCCACGTGACTACACTTCATTTACGAGGAGCAAAGTAAGTGCCTTTTAAATTACTAAAAATCAGTCTTATCAACCGTACATTTATGATAAGTGATGGATGTGTACGGTAATTTCAATGCGAAATAAATTAATAAAGATTGTGTATGTTTCTGGCTAAACTCATATTTTATAGGCCTTTGCTAAAATGTCTTCTTTAATTAGATGGAAAATGACGTCGGTTACTGTAAACCGATCAGTGAAGTTTACCATTCGATCGTCGCTGCCCCTTGTGTCTATTGCCACGGTGCCTTGGTGAGTACTGTATTTCATGTAATCTATTAACAAAGTCATCACATGTAGACTAGAAAAAAAATCTGAAAAAATGAGTTAGGAGGAGTGGAATGTTAGAAGCAATCCACATAGCCAGATATCCTAATTAATCCCTTCTGGTCACCCTAAGCCCTGTTGACACTTGATTTTACTCCTTGTATACAAATGGCGGCCATTTTGAAAAATTTATCTAAAATGTGCATAAAATTGAAACTAAATAAGCTACAGATATGTTGATGATGTTGATGTCTAAACTCATAATTTATAGACAGGCAACAAACTAGACATATAAAAACTACTGTCACTCAAGCCAGAATGGAACATAATTAAAAAATAGGTGTTTATTTGTTTAAAAATTATCGCAAAATATACTTGCTTAAAATGTACATAAAATAAGAACGAGTAGGCCTATATAAGCTAGTTTTCTATGTAATCCAGATATATTTTGGTGCAAAAATAGATCTTATTAACTAATTTTATCATTTTTACTTCGCTGAATTCAAAAAAGTTAGGTGCCATTTTTTTCCCAACGTCATCGGCCGCCATTTTGAATTTCAAGATGGCTGATGCACTACATAAAACATGGTCATATGGAAAGGGAATTATACACTGATCATTTATTGTCATTACACCTAAACAACATTATACATATTTACAGCGATATAGACCAATATATAAAGTCACATGACACAAAAGGTCAAAAATTCAAACTTACCAAAAGTTGTCGTGTTTGGTATTATTTGAAAGCTCTGCCAATGATGAGTTATGTTTTCCGGTATATACATATCAGAAACTGTAGTTTTTCATATATTGTCCTGTAAATCTAATTATCAAATAGAACAAAATCCCACAAACACACTCATTTATTAGAAGGGGTCAGTCCAACTACGACCCATCCTTTTACTATGAAGGTTTGACCAGATATGTACACCTGTGTGCTTTCTGGGGAAATGCTTAGTTCCTCCGAGTCCAAATGAACCCAGGATAGGCCAGGGGCCCCACTCTTACTTCATGGTGGCCAAGGCAAATACAGTATGTTGTGTTTTCTTACCGGTACTTATTGATGATTATACATACATGAACAATGGTACCGCATGTTATGTGCTGTATAATATATTTGATTGGCTGATTGATTTGTTATAACATTAATAGGCATGGTCCTCCCAGTGGTGCAACGACGAGTCGTGGGTCCTGGGCCGAAACAATGTTAGGAGCACCATGCATATCAGTAAAATTTTTTGCTCACGAAGTGACACCAGGGTGGGTAATCCCCTAGAGATAA